CTTTCCATGTTTTAGCTATTGTGGAGAGTGCTGCTATGAACATTGGGGTACATGTGCTCCTATGCCTCAGCATTTCTGTATCCCTTGGGTAAATTCCTAGCAGTGCTATTGCTGGGTCATAGGGGAGTTCTATTGTTAGTTTCCTGAGGAACCTCCACACTGTTTTCCAGAGGGGCTACGTACAATAGTTTTTAATTTCAATACAGTTTGGTTTATCTGTTTTTTCTTTTATGACCTGTGCTTTTGTTGCCCTTTCCAAAATACCGTTACCAAATCCAACAGCATGAAGCTTTCCCCCTATATTTTCTTCTAAAATTTTAATATTTTTAGCTCATACAATTTAAGGTTTTGATTCATTTGAATTAGTTTTTGTAGGTTACATAAGAGCTTAAGTGCATTGTTTTACATGTGGACATCCAGTTTTCCTAGCACCATTTGTTGAAAATATTGTCCTTTCCCACATTGAATGGCCTTGGCATCCTTGTCAAAAATCAGCTGAACATATATACGAGGGTTTATTTCTGTGCTCTTTTTTCTATTCCATTATTCTATATGTCTGTCTTTACTACACTATTTTGTCAGTACTACATTATTTTGATTATTATAGTTTTGTAATAATTTTGAAGCCAGAAAATGTGAGTCCGCAAACTTTGCTCTTATTCAGGTTTTCTTTTTTTAGCTATTTGAGGTCTCTTAAGATTCCATATGAACTTTGGGATGGATTGTTCAGTTTCTGCCAAAAAAAAAAGTCATTGACATTTTAATAAAGATTGCATTGAACCTGTAGATAGCCTTGGCTAGTATTGCCAGCTTGAGGATATGAAGTCTTCTAGTCCATGAATATGTGATGTTCTTCCAGTGATTTGTGTCTTTAAAATTTCTTTCAGCCATAGGGGCTCCTGGGTGGCTCAGTCAGTGGAGCATCTGACTCTTGATTTCAGCCCAGCCAATGGTCTCATGATTGTGAGATCGACCCCCACATCGGGCTTCACGCTGAGTGTGAAGCCTGCTTGGGATTCTCTCTCCACACCTGTCTCTCTCTGTCCCCTTCTCTAAATAAATAAATAAATAAATAAATGTTAAAATTTTTAAATTTATTTCAGCTATATATTATAGTTTTCAGTATACTAATCTGCCTTTTTGGTTAAATTTATTCATAAGTATTTTGCTCTGTTTGATAATATTATAAATGGATTTATTTTCTTAATTTCCTTTTTGGAATGTTCATTGTTAGTGTATATCAAAATGCAACTGATTTTTATATGTTAATTTTGTATCCTGCAACTAAGCTGAATTCTTTTATTAGCTCAGATAGTTTTTTGTGTGTGGAATCTAGGGTTGTTTTTTTTTTTTTTTTTTACAATTAAGATCATATCATCCAAGAACAGATATGATTTTACACCTTCCTTTTTAATTTGGATCCCTTTATTTTTTTCCCTTGCCTAATTGATCTGGCTAGACTTCCAGTACTACATTGAATTGAAATTAGAAAACTGGGCATTTTTGTATTACTTTTGATCTTGAGAAAATGTTCTGGTCTTTTACCATCAATATGTGGGCTTTTCATTTATGGCCCTTATTATGTTTCTCATAGAACATTTCTCTATTCCTAGTGGGAGTATTTTTATGAAGGAAGTATGTTGGATTTTTGTCAAATGCTTTTTCTACATCAATTGAAATGATCATGTAGTATGGACTTTTTTCAGTCTATTAATTTTGCTAATTCTATTATATTCTGTTAATACATTGTTTGAGTTTTGCATGTTGAACCATGTTTCCATCGCGGAAATAAATCCTACTTGGTCATGGAATAAAAATCTTTTAATATGCTGCTAAATTCAGTTTGCTAGATTTTTGATGTTGTTGAGGATGTTTGCACCCATATTCCTATAGGATATCAGCCTGTACTTGTAGTATTTGTCAGGCTTTGATATCATGGTAATTCAGGCCTCACTGAATGAGTTGGAAGTGTTCTTTCTTCTGCACTTCTTTGGAAGAATTTGGAAGGGATTGGTGTTACCTCTCCATTAAATGTTTGGTCACGCTACAATACCATCTGGTCCCAGGTTTTTCTTTTTTGGGAGATTTGTGATTACTGATTCGCCCTCTTTACTAGCTATAGGTCTATTCAAATTTTAGACTTCTTCATGTTTAAGTTTGGCAGGGTGCATGTTTCTGGAATTTATCCATTTGTTCTAGGTTTTCTAATTTGCTGGTATGTAATTATTCAGAGTAGTTTCTTATGATCCTATGTATTTCTATAGTGTCAGTTGCAATGTCTCCTCTTTTATTTCTAATTTAAGTTAAATTTATTTATGTCAGCACCTTTATTATTTTGTTTCTTATGCTAACTTTAGGCTTAACTCTGTTCTCTTTTCTTCCATGTCCTTGACATGTAAAGTAAGATATTTTATTTGACATTTTGCTATATTCTTAATATATGCATTTATCAGTATAAATTTTCCTCTCAGAACTCTCTTGCAGCATTCTGTAGGTTTTGCTATTTGTTTCTATTTCATTACCTTTAAGGTTTTCTTTTCTCATTTGGTTTCTTCTTTCATGCATTGGTTGTTCAAAAGTATGTTCTTTAATTTTCACATAAATGTAGATTTTTCATATTTCCTCTTGATTTTTTAATGTTTATTTATTTATTTTGAGAAAGAGAGAGTGAGAGCGCGCACAGGAAAGGGACAGAGAGAGAGAGAGAGAATCCCAGGTAGGCACCATGCTGTCAGTGCAGAGCCTGATGTGGGGCTTGATCTCATGAACCATGAGACCATGACCTGAGCTGAAACCAAGAGGTGGATGCTCAACCAACAGTGCCACCCAGGAGCCTCTTCCTCTTGTTTTTTCTTCCATGTAGTTGGAAAAGATATATGCTATGATTTAAGTGTTCTTAAATTTGCTAAGACTTGTTTTGTGTGTTATCATATGATCTATCCTGAAGAAGAATCTGTGTGGTTACTTGAAAAGAATGTGCATTCTGCAACAGTTGGATGAAATGCTCTATATATGTGTATTAAGTCCATTTGACCATGATATGGTTCAATTCTAATGTTTCCTTGTTGATTTTCCATCTAGATGATCTATCCATTGCGGAAACTGGGGCATTGAAGTTGCCTGCTATTATTATATTGTTATCTTTTCTCTCTTCAGATTTGTTAGTATTGCTTAATATATTTAGGTGCTCAGATGTTGTGTACATATGTATTTATGACTGTTATATCTTCTTGATGTATTGACCCCTTTATCATTATATAATAGCTTTCCTTGACTCCTGTTACCATTTTTGGCTTAAAGTCTATTTTGTCTGATATAAGTATAACTAATTTCTTTTGGTTTTCACGTGCATGGAATATCTTGAATTCCTTCATGGTGAACCTACTTGTGTCTTTAAAGCTTAATTAGTCTCTGGCAGAAAGCAATTAGTTGGGACTTGTGTTTTTATCCATCATTTTGCAGATTTTTCTTCTGGTAATATGACTCTGTTTCTAATAACATGTTAGTACTGATGCTGTTTTTGCTGTTCGAGGTTTACTCATTCTCTATTGACTTCTTATTATGAGGAAAGGGAATTAAGCTTTCTCGTAGCTCAGCTCCCCTATGTGATTTTTCCCTATCCTTTCTATTCTCCCAACATAGTTGTATCACTGAAGTGTTTTGGCCTCAAGCTTCAATGATAGCAATATCTTCAAACTTCTGCTAATCATCTCCATCTTCTTTTAAGAGTGAGTCACTAGAACATGACTGGAGCTCTCCATGCTAGAAGCCCACAAAGTTGCTTTCCATACTGCCTGCTTCCTAGGGATCTATAACTCCCTGTGGTATTTTCCATAGCCCATGAATACTCATGTGTGTCTATGTCCTAGAGTCTAAACCTTTCTTCAAAAGCATCACAAATTGGAAACTTCCCCAGACTGAGTAGGTGAATTGAAGACTCTTGTTTCCTGTAAATCTTCTTTGGAAGATCCTCTTCACACAGGCGGAAAACAGGAGAGTAAAGTAATGAGAAGGAGTGTGGAAAAGGTTACCATTAATTAAGAAAATTGTCTTGCACCTTAGCATGGAAGTGTCTGAGATAAAGTCCACATCATAGGTTGGTTGTCAGAGTCTAATAATTTGCTACCCAGCAATTGTCCAGCTCAGCCTGAGTCACCCTGATCTGCCTGGGTGCAATGGGTAGAGCATGGGTTTTGACATTAGATCTGGGTTCAGATCCGTGCTAACTATGGAAATTGTGGCAAATGCATTGACCTGTGAATCTCATCTGTAAAATGGGAATAATGCTGATATCACAGGATTGTTCTGGAATTGGAAATCATGCATGTAAAGTGCCTGGTACATACGTGTCCATGAATAATAATCCTGACATTATTAGAAACGTCTATCCTTAGCATGGAGGAGGGTGCTCGTGGGGATGAGCACTGGGTGTTATGTGGAAACTAATTTGACAATAAACTATTTGTAAAAAAAAGAAATGTCTATCCTTAGTTTTCTTATCATCTACTGACAGTTTTAGATATAGCCTAGAAAAGGCAGAAGGAATAATAGAAAGGAAAAGCCAAGAGCATTTTGTAGGGATGTGGTGCCGAAGAGCTCTGCCTCACACCCAGCCAAACACACCTTCAAGGAGCAGGGGAGGAGCAGACATCTGGGAGACAATGGACAACCAGGAGAGCCAACAAATCAGAATTGCTGGAGGGTTTACCAACCAACGCATCCCCCCTCATTTCTTGTTGAACAGTCCCACCTAGCATGACCAAGTATCCTGGTTTGCCACCAGAAGTCCTTCAATCTCTGAAGTCCCTCAGTCCCAAGCACACAGTCTCCTACAATGCACACTGATGAAAGTCACCACCAGGTGGGGGCCCACTGAAGTCACTGAGGATGTGTGGCAGACTTCAGCTATGTGGAGGAGAGTAGGGATAAGGAGATTGCTGAAGAGCCTGCAGGAGGGCAGACATAACTGATCCCTCTCACTCACGTTTCTTCATTTTCAGGTCAGGCAGTGTGAACAACAACTGGATGGACATTTACAACCTTGTGGAAGATTTGGTCAAGAAGTTTGAAAAGTATGGCTTCTCTGTGTTAATAGTGTGATTTCCTCTGCTAGACACAGCACAGAGCTGTTTGGACTCAGTGGGCATTGGAGTCCCTCTAGGCAGGAGCACAGAGTCTAGAGTGAAGTTCTGAAGCTGAAAAACGAATAACAGTGATTCCAAGGGACCCAGGAGGTTTACGTGGCGACTGCCTGAGAGTTAGGCCATATGACTGGGGACACAGTCTGCCTTTGAGGACCTAGTAGATTAAGAAACAGGCAGACCAGTAACATAATTGAACATCTGGCTTAAGGTGTCAGGGGCCAAAAGAAAAGGCAAAGGATTTATATGACAAGCTTAAGGATAAAGCAAGAATTTTAATTCAAGGATGACTTCCCAGAAGATGTGGCAACATTAAGTAGGCTTTGATGGATGGGAAAGACAGGGTAACAGGAACCATCAAGGAGACTTCTTGTGGAGTGAGTAGTCTGGCAGCAGAGTAGGTTTAACTCAAGGAAGGGCTGAGAGATGAGGCTGCGCATGTCAGGTTGGAGCCATGGCTGTAGCAGCCCATAATGCCAGCCCACAAGGCCTAGATCTCCTGCTGTGAGCAATAGGGAGCACAAGATGATTCTTGATTGGAGGTCTGACATGATTAGGGTGGTGTGTTAAGAAGAAAAGTCTGGCAAAAGTGGGTAAAATGAGTGGGAACAAGAGCTAAAAGCAGTAGGGAGTTCAGCTAGGGACCTATGGTACCAATTTAGCCAAGGGATAATAAGGGTCAGCAAACCAGAAGACTGGCAAGGAGCAAGAAAGAGGGGGATACATATGAATGGCTTCCAAGGGGGAAAATAATTTCTTTGAGATGAGAAGAGTTGAGGTGGGGAAGACAGGCAAGGAAGGAAGAGCAGTGAAGCTCCAAAGAATGTTACAAGAAGAGAGGCCAAATGGGAGTCCCTCCTGCAGGAGTGTGTAGATGTCTGTCTCCTGCATGTGGCTGTCTGTGTGAGCACCTATCTGTGTGAGTGCCTGTGTGTGTGTGTGCATGCACACATGCATGTGCACATGAGAGAGAGAGACAGGCAAATAGACAAACATTACTGGGGTGTTGTAAGTGTAAGGATGGACGCTCCTCCCTCCCTTCCAGGAAGGCCACACATCTTACAGACCTCAGAATTCCTTACTAAGGTTATAGGAAGTTCTGGGGTTTGGGAAATGAACCCCAGAGTATAAGAAATGGGGTGGGACAGGGAAACTGTCATGCACCCCTCCCTGGCTGCTCACTCATCATTTGCAGCCTGTGTTGATGACTTCTCACAAGCATGTGCTTCCTTCCCAGCCCGAAAATGCGGATATCCTTCATCACCTACTCCACAGAGGGCCACACCATCATGAAACTCTCCTCAGATAAGTAAGTGCGACGTTGACCCCCAAGACAGGCCCAGTGGGTGAGACTGATGAGACAGCCAGGGAGAAAATGGGTCCCTTGAGATCACAGTGGGGAACCTACTGGTATGCAGCCTACTGGGCAGGCCTGGACTCCCATCATTGTATACCATGATACCCAGCTTTAGCTCCCCTGCCCTCTCAGACCCCTGGCTGCTCTGATAATGGCCGACCCTGTACAGCTAGACCATCTCCACCTCTTCTAAGCTTTGCCTTTCACCTGCCTGAGTCCTCTCTGCATTCTTCCCTGTTCTTAGAATGGGCTGGCTGTGAGAACTCCCAGAATTTTTTGGAGCAGGTGTATGTCTTCTTTATGAACAGTGACCTGCATTAAGGACCTGCTGTTGTGTGTCAGTCTCTACCCTGGGCCAGTGGGAATTCCAGTGAGGCAAAGTCATAACCAGGGAGAAGAGGATGAGCAGCATCAAAGTATTGATGGTCTCAGTGAAGGGGATCTTGCTCCTTAAGTGGGTCTGAGATACAGGAGCCCAAGAGTAGGGTCCTAAACATCAGGCTGGGATTTGATACTTGAGAAAGGCATGAGCACATCCTAAGTTCGCCTTGATGGGTCCACCAGTTTTCCCAAAGACCTGTAAGCTGGGGGTTATGGAGCTTCTGAATAGCTGGTTAAAGAGGTTAAGATTCTCAAAGGTACAAATGATTGGAGCCCAATCCAGAGAGAGTTAAACATCAAAGAGAGGTTAAGCACCGTTAGAACTAGATGGGTCCCAGTATTTGTGGCACAGAGCTGCCATTCAGGACCATGGAAAGAAGCCAAGAGCAACAGAGTGAACAGCCAGCCTGCAGGGGAGGGGTGTGGTGGTATCAGTGCTGGAGACAGCACTCTCCTACCTGACTCCGGGACAAGCAGGGAGAGGATTGGCTGCTTCGAGCACTAGTGGAGGCACCAATTTGTGCATAGGTGGGGTTTTGCATTAGGACAGAGAGACCTGAGTGGGGTTGAAGTGGAAGGAAGCAATTCCATTGGGAGAGACACTGGCAGGTGGCAGAGAGCTGCAGGGCTGCTGGGCAGGGGACTCTGGAGGAGGAGCTGCGCACTGGGGAAGGGAAGACCTCTGCCTCCTCCAAGGTGGGGGGCTCAGGGCCCAGATGTGAGAATCTGTGTGGGGGCTCAGGGCGGCCCCACCTGGTTCTCTCTGGAGAGTGAACACAGTGACATCTTCCCCAAACCGGGGTTCAGGAGTGGGAGTGGGGCCTAGGGGAGTGGAAATGGTGTGACATTGGTGGGAAGGGGCGAGATGTGCAGATGGAAAGACAGCTCACACTGAGATCAGGTCCTTAAAGCTACCAGCTCCCCAAAACCCACAGGACCTTGATTGGAGCTGGGTTTAGCCTGAGATTTGCCTTCCTAAACATGCCCCACTGCCTAGGAGTTGAGGAGGCCTGTGGCAGGGAGCCTGGGAGGGGTTGGCATGCAGGGAGAATCCAGGAAGGGACACTAGAGCCTGATATAGGTGTGATCCTGGAGGATCTGCAGAGATCAGGGAGCAGGGCTGGGACCCTGCTTGATGCTTTCTGAGCCCTTTCTGCTAGGACAGAGTAGGCTGAGGAGACACGACCTAAAAGGGGGCTTCTTCTGGATTCTGGAGAAGCCAAGGGCATAGGGTCTAGGAAGCCCCCAGAGTTGATGGCAAAGATGATGATGACAGGGAAGATGTGGAAGGGATCCAAGGGGTTGAGACAGGTATTAAAGAGTAAGGACTGCTAGAGACAAGGAGCTGGTGTCCCCTCCATGGACAGAGCAGGGAGCAGGGTTGGAGGGGCAACAATCCCTGGGGAGAACCCGCTTGGGCAAGAACAATGCCTGGCCTGGAGGCTCCTGGGCCAGACACTGAGAAGGGCTGGAAGAAAATCTTCCAGGATGTGGTGAAGAAGGGAGAGTGCTTCTGCTGGGCGGGACAGCACCTGGTTTGGCCTCCACTGGCCATGGGTGCCAGGCCTCACCTCCTGGGCCGGGCAGGGCTGGGCCTGGGGCTCTCAGGTCTCACGCCACAGCAACATCTCCACTCCCCACAGTGAGAAGCCCTCTCAGGGCCCACGCTCTGCTAGCCTTGCTGTGCCAGCTCGGCTTGTCACATGGGATAAGTCTGAACCTGGGCCCCCAGTCCCACCTGTGAAATCCCCCTTAACAGCGGCTGTGTGGCCACATACCCATGGCAGCCAGCAGATCACTGCCCTTCCACCTGCATGGGCAGCCCTCAAGCCACTTCCCCAGCTTTTGGCCTTTTTCTTCAGGAGCACATGAACCCAGGAGCCCTAGCGCTCTCATCAAGCAACTTGCTACTTCCTTTGGCACCAGTTCAGAAGGGAAAGTGGCCTGGTCGGGGCCACTTTGGGGGTGGGGGATGAGCCAACCTCAGGGGTCTGTGGCAGGAGAAGATGGGACAGGGCAGGGGCGTCAGCAGGATGACCTCTTCCAAACTCAGCCTTACCTGCTGAAGGAAAGTGTGTCTCCCCGAGGGACCCACTATGTGCTAGCAGTCCTGCCAGTCACACCGTGAGTGTAGACTCACAGTGGCACACCCAGGAGTGTGCCCCACAGTCACCCTGGACAGTCAAGGCAGGGCCCTTGAGGGTCCCCCAGGTAGTGTGCCTGAGACTGCGGTGAGTGCAGAGAAAGCCAGGCCATACCCACGGGAGCAGCAGAGCAGCGTCCCCCAGCCCATGCTCACCAGATGGGGGACAGAGGAGGTCTGAGCAAGTCCTGTCCATATTAAGGACTCAGTGCATAAGACCATGACCAGGCTATTTGACTTGTGTCCTGCCCTGACCAGGCAGGTCTGTACAATGCACAGTGGCTCCAGGACAGTTTAAGGTTGTTTTGTTTTTGTTTTTGTTTTTGTTTTTTTTAATTGAAGTATGCTGACACACATTAGTTTTACATCAGTGTTAAGCATATAACACAGTGACTTGACTCTTCTATACATTATGCTGTGCTCACCACAATTGTAGCTACCATTTGTCCCCTTACATTATTATAAAATCCTTGACTATATTCCCTTTGTTGTAGCTTTCATTCCTGTGACATTTCATCTCATAATCTGAAGCCTGTATCTCCCACCACCCTTCATCCCTTCTGTCCATCCCCACTCTCCCCTCCCCTCTGCAACCACCAGATAGTGCTCTGTATTTATGAGTCTATTTCTGATTTTTGTCTGTTTACTGCTTTGTTTTGTTTTTTAGATTTCACATATAAGTGAAATCATATAGCATTTTATCTTTCTGTCTGACTTAATCATTTGGCATACCATCTTCTAGATCCATCCATGTTGTTGGAAATGGCAAGACCTACTATTTTTTATGGCTAAATAAAATTCCATTGAATGTATACACCACATCTTCTATATCCATCTATCACTGGACACTTGAGTTGCTTCCATACCTTGGTCGTTGTAAATATTGCTGCAATAAACATAGGGGTGCATGTATCTTTTTGAATTAGTGTTTTCAATTTCTTTGTGTAAATACCCAGTAGTAGAATTACTGGATCAGATGGCATTTCTCTTTTTAATATTTTGAGGAACCTCAAAATAATTTTGCCCACAGTGGCCACACCAGTTTGCATTCCCACCAGCAGTGCACAAAGGTTAGCTTTGGGCTCTTTTTAATAGTCAACACCTCATACCACCACAATCCCTTTTCTGATTTCTTTTTCAGAAATGTAATACGTGATGGTCTTAGTAAACTTCGGAATATAGTGCCTACTGGAGCCACAAATATGCATGAAGGATTTAAAAAGGTACCAAATCTAGAGCTTTGAGGATCTCTGCTTTATGGAGTCCTTAGAGTATTCTGGGTCCTCCCATCGCCCTCCTCCAACACTCCTTCATTTCATTGCAGGCAAATGAGCAGATTCGTGAAGCAAACTCTGGAGGTAAGCTTCCCGGTGACTTCATTGCAGGCAGGACAGAGGCAGGCCTGGGCCTCAGCGAGGTCTGGTGCAGACCCTCCTCAGCCCCTTCTGGCGCTGACTCTTGGAGCAAGGTGCTTGCCCTCTCTGTGCCGCAGGTTTCTCCTCTGTACAGTGAGGATGAAAACCACCCCAGTGATGTGTCTCAGACCCACATGGGATCATGTGCATACCTTCTAGGCTCTTGGTAACTGTGAGGTGACTGACCTACACTTGGGCTGCCTGAACAAGAAAACAGGAAGCCAGGGGCACCAACAGCAGACAGGATCCATTTTCGGAAAAAAGAGCTGGATTTCCCCCTTGCTGCCCACTTTGTCTCCATCACATCTCTGGCCTTGACGCCTTTTCCCTGTGGTTCCTTCCCTTTGGTTGATGTCATTCTGTGACTGTTTCCAACACTGGAAATGGCTGTGCTCTGCTCAGAACCATATTCATCTAGTTTACAGCTGCAGTCCTTGCCAGCAAACAAGCACAGGCCTGGTAGGGAAGGCACTGAGCTGGAAATGGCATCTGCAGCCTGAGAGCCTCTAACCTCACCTTCTGGACCCCTGGGCCTGCAGATACAGCAGGTCTTCCTGCAGGCGCTTCCCTGAGCCAGAGCCACGTCTTCCACTGAGCTGCAGGACACCTTGTACGGTCGAGTCTGACTGTCACTCCATTTGCTCATCCAAAAGGCTGATGCTTGTCCAGTGAGGTCAATGGTGTTGCCTTTCAGGGCAAAGGTTGTATGTCTGGTCATCATGACATTTCAGTAGGAAGGGCCAGAGCAGGACTCAGTACCATCTATAACGTGGGTCCTGGCTAAGGCCCTCCTCCCCTAGGACTGGACTGCTAGCCCTCCAGGCACTTCTGAGAGTGGGTGCTTATGCCGGGTGCCTGTACTCTGGAGGAGGAGGTATGAGGAGCAGTGCTATGGACCCAGCAGCCTTCAGAGTATCATTTGGGTGCCTTTACTGACCAGGCCACTCACTTTTTCTGCAGAAGAAAAAGTTTCCTCCATGATTATCTCTCTGACCGATGGAACACTGGAGCCAGCGGCCTTTGACGAGACTAAGTCCGAAGTGAGTCCAGTCCATCATTACCAGTATTTTGCTCTGCATATTTGGTGATTTATACTCAACACTTTCGTTCTCTTAGGCTGCAAAGTCTCGGGAAATGGGGTCAACTGTTTAAGCCATTGGTGTAAAAGACTATCAGAAAGACCAGGTAATTCCAAACAGGTAACTAGGTGCCACTTGTGAGCCTAGATGTGGAACTTTCAAAGGCAGCTTTCCCAGGGTTGCCTGAGGATGCTCCTCTAACCCACCCCTAGTGTCTGGACAACAGATAGCCACTCCAGAAATGAATAACAAGTGTCATGTCAAAACCTCCACACCCAAAGTGCAGGTGTAAGGGCTTTCCCTTCCCTAACGATGGGCTTCTGGCCAAGTCTTTGATTTTGTTGTTAGACTCCTCAGAGTCTAACATGGCATGAAATAAGAGACTTCCTCCTGGGATGGGGACTTCTGTGTCCTTATCCCCTATCTATGCGCCCAAGACACCTCCTCTCCCTTGTAGCTATTGGAAATTGCAGACAGCCCGCAACACATGATTGGAGTGAACAATGGATTTAAGGAACTAAAATACGTCGTAGAACCAGTGAGTAAGAGTTGTGAGAAAGGGGATAGGGTGACCTCTCGCCACAACCTCCCGGGCACTGTCCCTGACCTGCCACGCCTCTTTCTCTTCCAGCTTTCAAGTAAGGCATGTATTGAAATTACAGACGTGGAGCCTTCCAGTTTTTGTGCAGGAGGTAAGAGCTGGAGTCACTGTTGTAAACACAGGGAGGTATGTTGTGAGTGTGTGCTGTGTGTGTGGTGGGTGTGATGTGAGCATGCAGTTTCAATGTGTGGTGTGTGAATGCATGGGTGGTTGTATAGAAGTGTGCATTGGGTATATAAGTGTATCATTTTGTGAGGTGTTGGTGTCAGGGATGATGTGTGGGTATGTGTGTAATTCTTTTGGGGTTGGTTGGTTGGTTTTTATTTATTTTTGAGACAAAGAGCATGAGTAGGGGAGGGGGAGAGGGAGAGGGAGACACAGAATCTGAAGCAGGCTCCAGGCTCTGAGCTGTCAGCACAGAGCCTGATGTGGGGCTCGAACCCATAAACCATGAGATCATGACCTGAGCTGAAGTCAGACACTTAACTGACTGAGCCACCCAGGCACCCATGTTTTTGCTTTTGACATAATTTATATATACCTCTCTGTATAAGTTTAAAATATACCATGATTTCACATAACATATTGCAAAATGATTACCACAATAAGTTTCATGTTATAACTTTTTTAAATATCAAAACCAAAAAATTTAAGAAATAAGAAAAAGTATATTTGGAAAGCCCTCAATAAAATGCTAACAAATGGAATCCGAAACATACGAAAATAACAGTACATCAATACTAATTAGGGACAACCCCAGCAATGCAAGTCAATTCAGTATTTGAAACATCAGTGTAACTTACCACACCAGAAACATGAAGAAGGAGAAACATGATTATCTCAACGGATGAATAAAAGAATTGGATACAGCTCAACGGCCAGCATCATACTAGGAACAAAGCCCGACTAAAGGCATCCACACAAATACAGCTAACCACACACCCAATAGTTATATGGGGAACACCTCTCCCTGAGATCGGGGATTTCACAAGCATGCCCTCTCTCCCTCTCCAGAGGTCCCTGAGTCAGTCTGGTGAGGACGTCCTGGGCCATGACTTGTGCTAGAAGCCCCCTCCCTGTGATGAGTTCTGTGTGTACAGGCTTAATGTCTCATCGTGGGGACGGGTACTGCTGAGGAGGATGGAGAAGCACACTTACTCCACTGGCAACAGCACGTGCAGCTGGGTCCAGGCGGCTGCAGGCCCGAGGCTGGGTCTGGCCTCTGTGTTCTTAACTATAAGGCTAGAGTGCAGTAGACCGTAGGGTCAGACACAGCTGTGTTCAGATCTGGCTCTGCTGCCCATGGACATGCAACCTGGAGCAAATTACCAAACCTCTGTGAGCCCCGCTTTGGTCTCCAACAGCACCCACTAGCAGATCTCTTGTAAGCAGTAAGGCCGGTTGATTTTGCAAGGACTGGCACAGGATCTAGAAGCTGGGAAGCCCTAACCAATAGTAGTGGTACTAATATTCCCATCATCATTGATGCCACTGCCCCAAGGCTGAACTCATGAGGAGGGAGTGGCAAAATCACCGGAATGAAAGCATCCCCAGCTGAGCCAGCAGTTGGCAGTAGCTGTCTGACTCTTCCCATCTTCATAACCACCTTGCAGTGCAAGGCTGGAGGTGGGCAGGAGACCCCACACAAGTAGGCTCTTGTCCTGCTTCTGCTGTAAAGCACCCAGCCAGACAGCCGACCTGACAGCTTCATTTCTCTGATTATGTCCCCTGCACACACATACACACACAGGTCACGGCATCTGAGCAGCTTGCCAAACTGCAGGTGCAAACGTCAGTCATTGTTCATCCCCCATGGCAGCCTGGCCGGGGTTACAGGTGCCTACCACACACCCGCTGACAGCTTAGCTCAGCATTTCCTGCTCTGGCCTTTTTAAATTGTTGCCTTCTTGACGAAAGCTGCCACACAACATGATGGTCACTTGGAGGCAAAGCTCCAGGCAGGAACCGGACCCCAAATGAAATAGAAGGAGCCATTTCATCAGGCTGTCATTTGAAATAAATCAGCGGGCCAGGGCGCCTTGGGAAGCAGCCAGACAGGGGATGAGCACGAGGCTCCCGGCCTCTTCCGTCTTTCAGGACGCTCTCCGGGGTGAGGCAGAGGCCTCTGCTGGCCTTCCTGCCTCTAGGCCTGTGCTCCAGCCCATCCTCTGCACAGGGCCTGGGGGCACTGAGAAGGCCCCTTCCCCAAACCCAGGCTGGCCTGGGAGTCTGAGGCCCCTAGCCTCACAGCAGGGCCGGCCAGGTCCTCCGTCAGCTCTCAGGCTAGGGGTGGCACTAGGCTTCCTGCAAGCCCCCCTCCCCCACTTTACAGGGTCCGTCCTACCCATCCTTTGATGCCACACTCACAGGAGGCCCACGCTTGTCCCTTTCTTGGTTCACTGGCCCTTCTGGATTCCTGCAGCCCTTGGTCTGTCCTTCTCGTTAGTCACTTCTCACCTTGAATGTGCCGTGACTTCTGCTTGGCTGTGTCACAGTTTATTCTTATCAGTCAGTTCCTTGATGTGTTACTAACCTTTTACGAAGGAAATTTTCAAACCTACAGCAAAGTGGAAACAACCGTACGATGAACACCCCTGTCTCCACTCTCTGGGTTTTGCAGTTAATATTTAATATCTCAGCATATTTCTTTACTGTTTACCTATCCAGGGTACTTCCCCCCCCAACTCACACCCACCCACCCACACGCATACCCATACCCAATCCCCCCCCACACACAATGCATCTTATTTTTTTATGTGTTTAAAGTCAATTACAAACATTAGGCTACCTCACTCCAAAACCAGCCATTCTGCATATCTATATTTATACAAATATTTCTTAAGAGCTCTCCTTAAATTGCAGCAAAGTTTAGTGTATCATTTGATGACTTCTGAAAAATGCACACCCCAGAAAGACAGAATGTACCATTGTCCCTAGAAAATCCCCTCAGTTCACTTGCCAGGCAATCCTTGTCCCCAATCCATATTCTTCTCAGTTTTTACCTCCATAAGCAGTTTGCTCCTTTAAAATATCTTCTCAGGAGACTCATGCAGTATGAACATTGTGTTTAAACATTCTGTTTGGCCACTCATCTCGGCTCCGTGGTTTGGAGATTCATCACTCCTGTTATGTTTGCTGGGTATGCTTGGATTTTTGTGTGTGGGAAGAAGGCTAGAGGTGGCACCTTCTCATTGTTTTTCCTGTGTGTGGCTGGCCCAGAGTGAGTGTCTACAACAGCCAGGGCACATCAGTGGTGGCACATAGTAGGGCACAAGGCAGAGGCAGGCTTTCCTCTGAGAGTCGGTGGACAAGATCCGCAGGGTGGCCAGGAGACTCACTGTGTGCAAAGGACAGGGCAGGACCCAGAGGGTAAAGGCAGGGCCCACTATGCAGTGCAAAGCCACCTTTACCACCAACTGATAGCTATTGTTCCTCTCTGATAAGGTTCCCTTTTTCTACTACTACTGGCTCCCAGAGATAGCTACTATAAATAGTTGATCATAAGACATACATACCTATCTAACTATGCTTTTCAAAGTATTCTTACATCAGCGGGATCATTTAGTTCACAACATTTTCCACCATCTGTACATGTTCCATTACATGGATGGAAGAAATTTCATTAGTCTCCCCTGGTTGATACTGTGGTGGCTTCTAACATGTGGCTACAGCAGGCTGTGCACACCTGAGGCTCACCTCTCTGTGGGCATGGGTCAGGATTCCCTGGGTCAATTCCAGAATTGTGGCATTAAGAGGACACACAGGTTAAAAGTTGGTCAGTTGAGTCGAATTTCTCCCAAAGAGCCTGTGCTGGGCAGCAGGTGGTGTTCCCAGAGCCCGGCCCTCCCAGGGCAGATCACTTCCACTAGATGACCTTGTCAGTCTCAGCATCAGTTGTCCTTGCTCACTGCTTGGCTTCCTCCGGTCGTTGTCAGGGAGCTGCTTGCCTTCCCAGCTCCTCCCTCTGGAGCCCTGGGAAGACTGGTTTAGAACTCTTCCTCCAGAAAGAAAGCTCTCCATAAAGAAGGATCGGTCTCCCTGCCAGGGGCTGGATGGTCCCTGTGCCACCTGAGAGTGGGTACACAGTGGAACTCTACCTGGGAGACAGCTCCCTGAAAGCCAATGTTTATCCATCCTTATCTTCATTTTCCTCCTGTGTGTGTTACTGTTGGAGGAATTGGGTGAGGGCTGTTGGAGCAGAAGGAGCAGCTACTGAACAAAGCAAAATCCTTTAACCCCATGTCTCTGTTGCTCAAAAATCTGACACCATCACTGCCTCCCACTTACTGAGACTTGCTAGATTGACAAGACCCTCTCAGAGCAGCAGTGCTTGGGGACACAGTGGGCACTGCTGCAGGGAAGTGATGACTGAGCAGGGCCTGAAGAGCTGAAAAGCTAAAGAGCTGAAGAGCTGGGAAGGGGGTCACAGGCATAGGGACAGCATGTGCTCTTCCTGAGGAGTGCAGGCACTGCAGGGCCATCCCTCTGAAGCAACCTTGTGATAGCTGCTCAGAACCCCCTTTACCGAAGAGCAAAGGGGAGCGGGGGAAGTAGGTCCTGGATTGGGTACATGAAGTCAGATCTTGGCCCTGTACCTGCTAGGCATCCAGGGAAGGCCATCTGGTTCCCTCTCTTCAAGCTGGGGTAGGAATGCCTAGCTCATGGGTGTTGGAGGTTAAGGAAAGTGTAGAATGGCCCATAGCATATAATCAGTTAGTGAGGAATGCCATTTTGATGAACACTGGCGTTACATGCCTTGGGTCTGGCACAGATTTGCCCATCTCTGGTTCCTTCTGCCTGTGTGCTTGTGGCAGGAAGGTTCTACTCACTGTTTTTACGTCCCCTGGAGACTGATCTCTCCACATGCAGCCAACTGAGTTTTCCCTTCTCTGCCTGTATCTAATTACAATGTGGGTTATCGATTTACTGTTCTGTCTTGCAAGGGAATGCTTCTTTGTGATTAAAAAAAAAAATCCTAGAATGTAAATTTCAGATGACACTTCACCATGAGACTGAGAGCCAGCAGCTCTGCTCAAGGTGGCCCTAGCAAGGCTGGCAGAAGGGTTTACAGGAGACAAACCGAACTGCTCCTTCCAGGACTATCACAGAGCCCTGTGTCATGGTGGGAAGGGTCCTTATGAAGTGTGAGCCTTGAGCAGGCAGCCTGGCACAATTGAGTCCAAAGCACCATTGTACTGTTGGCTACTATGAGTGGGAGAGGACGTGTCACTTAGAGACATCAAGCCTCCGCTGGTCCAGGGGCCAGGCTGGTGCCATGAACAGGAGGCGTGTATCAGGCTAAGCCAAAGATGGTTGGCTGCTTGTGAGGTGTAGTGCGCTAAGGCAGGCGCTGGCCACTGAGGAACTCCCATGATGTGAATGGGGCATTGGCCCCTGGCCCAGCCAATCGTTGACATGCAGAAATACGAACCCACCAATTCCAGGTGTTCCCATTTTCCAAGAACACTAGTGATCTGGATTTTTAATGAAAATGTGCAAACTTTAAATGTTGATACCCATTTTGGGGAAACACATGAAAGCGTAACCCAGTCAGCACTCAGCAACTAGCCACAGGCCTAGAATTTATTTTCTTCAAAGCAGAAAATTTGCAAACACTGCCCTGGCCAATGGGAGCTGCAGGGAGACCTGAAGCAGGAGGAATCAGAACATCCAGGTCCAAGGTTGCACTAGTGTGTGGAAATAAATAAATTGAGCTAGGGCAAACCAAGCTTCCAGGATTGGAATAAACCAGTCTGAGAGGTGGAGGCTAATGACCTTGGGCTTGCAGTTAAAGACCTACATGTTATCTTGGCTAAACCCTTAGGGAAATGGTCTACCAGCTGTCCTTTCTATCCACTGGTATTTGCTTCAGGGGAGGCTCAGTAGCCTGGTGTAGGTCAAGGGCCTAGACCTGCACTTTAGCATATCAGTGTCTCCACACTGAAAGAGAAAGTGCTTGCTGAACCCGAGGTGAGTTGTCTGTAGTCCATGAAGCCTCAGGCAGAGGCAGTGGAAGAGCAATCATGGGAGACTTCCAGAAGCACAGCTAAGGCAGGACTTCTCCTTCCATGAGGGATTCTTTTGTGCAGGTTCCCAGAATCTTAACATATACAGAAGATGGGGCTGGGTCCCTTTAATGGGCTCCAAGTATCAGGGGTGAAGATGAGAAGATACCCAACAGCCTAAGGCTCCCCTATTACTTAGAGTGGACCCTCTATTATACTGGGTTAGGGTCTGACCTCCAGAGGTCAGACATGTTTGTTTTGACATGTTTGCTTCCTTGCAGGAATCCCTAAAAATTCCATTTTTTGGGGGGACATGCCTTGTAAGACAGGAGAAAGGCAGTCCTCAGCCCCACCTTACACAGTCCTTTGAATGTTGCTTTGCAGAAGACTATGAAGTGATGATTACTGGAAAAGGATTTAATAATGCACCAAACAAGGAGGAAGTTATTTGTAGGTTCCGCTTCGGCACTAATAAATTCTTTGGTAAGTAGCTCTTTTGGTGCCTAGAAGTGACAAATTCCCTACAACAGGCTGTCTTCCCCTCAGCCAGCCAGGCCTTCAAAGCCCTTGCTGGCCATTCACTATGGGTGCTGTGAGGATAGATCAGCGTGGACAAGTAGAAGGCGGGACCTGGCTGGAAAGCCTGGTGACCTATACCTCAAAGCTGGGAAGTCATCAATACCCAACACCACAAGAGCCTCTCAGAGCAGGGCTTTACCCCTGCCTAGAATGGCTGTGGTGTGCTGGGTGTGTCCCAGAACTGCATTCCCCCTCCCTTGGCTCAGCTCTGACTTGCCTTAAAAGATAAAGACCCGAATCCATCAACTCTGCTAGTCAGAAAAACAGGCAGCCCTGGAGCTCTGAGTCTGGGCCAGGTGTGAGAGAGGATGCCAGCTGCCACGCCTGGGTCCTGGAATCCTGGCACAGGCACACATCACATGTCTGACCTTGACCATATGAGGGTTCTCTTCTCAGCTTCTTTTCCTCTACTGCAGTAGTTGAGCTAAGCCATGGTACCTCTGTAAGCCTATAATTGGGAAATATTCAGGCATCAGGTGTTCCTCCATGATGGGTGAGTGGCCAGAGAGAGCCCGCAGTTGGATACGTAGATGTGCCCTCAACACTGAGATGGATATAATCCTCCCCAAAGAGCAAGGCAGTACAGTAGGACTTTCTTCCACTGAGCACCCAGTGCATTCATTTGACCTGACTGTTCGGTGACATCTTACTGCAGAGCCAACTGGTAAACCCAGAGCTACCTCCAGACATCCCAACATTACACGATAAATGTTTCAGTCTCCTAAGGGAAATGGTGTCTCTCAGGGACAGGACAGGTGCCACGTTCCTCCGTTCTCCGTGCCTTCCATTGTTTATTGTTGTCTCAAAAATTGGCACTCTCTGCATTTATTTTGCTCCTTATTAGTTATTTCATTGTCTGTCTCCCTCCTATCTTTCAAATGTAGGCCCCTTGAGAGCAGGGACTTAGGCTGCCTTTTCCATTTTAGCCAGGCATTGCGTAGGGCCTGGTGCATGGCAGGGGCTCCGAGGAAGGCAGCAAAGGAAAGCTGGCATCTGCCAGAGTGTTCATCTGCTCGCCAGGGCCAACTGAGGGGAGATGGATGCATGGACATGCCCACTGACATTCTCTTGTGGTTTTCTCCTAGATAAAAAAGTCAGCGCTGTGGATGATAACACCATAACATGCCCAGGAGTAAGGGTAGAAAAACCAGACGAGTAAGTGCCCAGGTCAGGGGCCACAGGTGCAGTTTTTGCCACTGTGAGGCATATAGAATGTGGGATGTCACCTCTGCTGGGGCAGCACGTGTCTGTCTCCCAAAGTCTCAGGGCATTCTCTCCACTTCTCCATGTTGGTGGTCACCTGAGGGGCTCAGGGATCTGCTATAGCCCAGTCTCTGCTGAGGAGGAAGACCCTGGAGATGATGTCTCTGGGGAAGGCTTCTGCTCCAGGTAGCCATCAGAGCTAAGCCAACATACTCTGCAAGTGGAGAAAAGTCACGATGGTGACACCAATCCGCCCTGCCTAGAAACCTAGCCCATGGCCACGAGGGCATGTTATCCCATGCAGGGCTCCTCATGCCCAGGCAGCCTTCACTGCAGAGGCTGCTCTCAGGTGCTTGGGGGTGAGCTCCCCTTACCCATGCCCTGTGCTCACTGGTGGCCCCAATGCCTAATGATCACTTACAATGAGAAGAAATGTGGGATGTGGTTCCAGCGGAATGCAAGAAATATGTCTGTTGGGGCTCTTTGTACCTCCGCAATTTCTGTGTTGTAGGTTGATCCACGTGGAAATTAGCCTGAATAATGCCAAGAGCTTCATTAAGAGTGATGCTAACATTACCACCAAGGACTGTGTGAGTGCTAGGGTAAGGCTGTAGCCTCCATCCTGGGGCCGTCCCCAGCACCTCCACTTAAGGAGCACACCGCCTAGGAAGCAGGAGAGGGGACACAGTGCGAAGGGCCTGAGAAAGGAACATGTGCTGACAGGCAGCTGGGCCAGGCTCAGAGCCGGCACGGGGCCCTCAGCCCTTCATCGGCAAGCTGTCCGCACATCGGGCTGGGGAGGCGCCCTGGGAGCACTTCCACAGGGGCACCTGCGGTGTAGCCCCCCGTCCAGGTCCTGCAGAACCTCTGCTCTCTCTGTGGACCAGGTGTCCCTGATGGCACAGGAAAGGGAACAGGTAGAGCTCTAAGCAGAGTCCAGAATCGGTGCTGGGGCTGTGCCGCCCTGCCTCGCCCTTGCCACCTCCGCTGGCCCAAGGATCGCAGTGGGGAGCTCTGGGCCCCATTCTGCATCCCAGCTGGGCGAGTGGGAGGGGCTGGGGGACTGGTGGGTTAAGAGCCGAATACAGGACCTCTGGGGGAGTGGGGTTCACCAGATCCGGGCCCCAGACACGGGGGGTCTGGAGGGTAGGACCAGCCGTGGCCCTGTGCAGTCAGGTGTGTTTCAGCAGCTGCTGATACGGCTGAACCCACACACCCCCAGCACTGCCCTGAGCCCAAGCCCGCGTGGGGAACACCCTCGTCATTTTGCAGAGGGCCTCGGCCTCCCGTCCGCCTCTGCTGCTTTCTCGTGCTCCTCAGCCGTCCCTCGCTGCTAACTCTCTGACCCCTGTGGGACCTTGCTCTCCTGCACATGGTGGGAAGCTGCCAGGCTGTGGGGAGGGCCTGGGATTCAGCTCAGGGACGGGCATGTGGGAAGGAAGGCGCTGCCCCCAGGTGCCCACTCCTTAGAGCCCCACGTCATCTGGGCACTGGTGCAGGGCAGCATGACGTGGGCGACAGAGCACATCAGACATGAGAAGAGGGCTACCTGGGAGGAGGGATGCCCCTGCCTAAAGGCCACTAGCCTAGGGTCCTGTCTGGGAGGGTTCCAGCAGCGCTGACAGTCCTCTGACTGTGTCTTCACTTGTGCCAGGACGGGCACTCATGGATCCGAGACCACACACAGCCACTTGCCCATCAGGAGTCTGACTGACAGGCCACCCTCAGCGGGCACATTCAGGAAAGAACTCAGGAGGACCCGTGCCACCATGGGCCCCGACCCTGCTTCCCTGGTCAGCTGCCCTGACTCCTGGGCACACTCTGTGCCCTCCTGTTCCCCCGCCTCAGGGAAAGCAGAGCACTCGGTTTAGGAGAGGGGCAACACAGCGTGCGGCTGAGGCGTGCAGACTGGCTCATCAACCCCTCCCCCCCAAGGATTCAACTCCCCGTCAGGGCTCTGTGCCAGAGCCTCTGAACAGAGCCAGCGGTGTGCTCTGCGGCCCAGGGCTCCACAGCGGCTCTGTGAGTGCGGTCCTGTCCCCGGGGCCCTCAGTGCTCCCTGGAGGCGGGGAGACCTGAGCTCACTGGGAGCAGGCTGACGGGCAGGCCTGGTGTGAGGTGCTGGGGAGGCACCCAGTAAGAGACCCGACCAGATCTACCCCAGACTTTTTATGTGTGCCTTTTTCAGAATGGGGCACCCGAAGAGGGAGGTCCCTCTCCGTCTCCTCCTCCTCCAGAAAACACACCTCCATCATTATTCCCACCAATCCCATCTTTATACTTGATTGGGCTCCTCCCAGCTGGGCTTCTATTCCTGTGTCTTTTCTGCTGCCTCTGCCGATGCTGCTGCAACAAGGTAAATAATGTCTTGAGCAATATTACCATTCTCCAGGCGCTTGCCAGCAACGTGACGGACACAGCCCCTACCCCTGCCCCATGATCCTGCCAGTGGGCGGGTTCCCATGAGCTCCCGGGTCATCATATGAGCAAACAGAGGCACAGACTGTGTCTTCTATTCCCAGAGAGAGACTCAGCCTGTGTCTCCGGGCTCCTCTGCTTCATGCTTGTTTCCAGGGGCGGCCTGTGAGCTGCCCTGTCCGCTGGGGAAAAGCCACCCCAGAGCCCAGTGACCAGGGAGGCCTCACAGCAGCCAGGCTTCTGGAGAACTCAGGGAGACCAAGCACCAGAAGAGGTCTCTGCTGCTGAGGGAAGAAGGCGGGACCCACAGGAGGCACTGGGAGCCCCAAGGGACAATCCTGCCAGCAGGGACGATTCCTGGCCTCTGGGGCAGCTGAGCCTTGGAAACCAGTACAGGTCTCTGCACACAGCTAGTGTGTCCCTCCTTCCTTCCTCAGTCATTACTAAGGGCAGGGTGTGATGGGCCCCATACTGGGCACACGGAGACATTCCTGCACACAGGAGCTCACAGTCTAGTGTGTGCTCTGCTATTGGTCCCTGGGGGTGGAGGGTAAAGTGTCACCTTCACAGGCTGTGGCATCAGAGCCCTAGCAAAGGAGAGCTGCTGGCCCCGCGGGAGGGAGAAGGGCAAGACGTGCTGGCTGCTGGCATTGCAAGGACGTGGGCCAGAGCTGGGTGAAGGAAGAGGGAACAGCAGAGGTGGGAAGGGCCAGAGCAAAGCAGCAAGGCAGAAGTGGGTCTGATTGCTGTGGAGGGGGAGCTGTGAGGACAGAAAGTGGGGCTACAGGCTGTCAGCACAGAACGGGGACCAGGGAGGGCTGCGGGCTGTGGGAGGTGAAGGGAGAGGAGCAAGGAAATTGGACGTGCTCTCTTGTCTTCATGTGATGGAAGGTGGAAGGGCAGCTGATGAAAACTCCTGGGTGGGGCACCTCCACCAGGGCCCAGGAACCCTAGTCTGGGGGTCTCCCTGTCCACCCCCCCACCCAGGGCGGTCCGATTCCCCTTTGAGAACCCAGGAGCCTGAGCCTCAGGGGGGTGGGGCCGGTTGGCCACATCCCACAGACAGTGGGTTCGCAGGCTGACACCCCAAAGCCCATGTTCTGTGTTACTGCTGCTGAGTAGGGTCACCTCCTGTCTGCATGGCCGAGCCAGTACCCTCCATGCTCCTCCAGCCTGTGCTCATGTCTCTTTATCATTCTAGCCCTGCAGGCCGCCGCCAATGCCGAAAATAATATTGGTGAGTCATGATTTTTGTCCCCATGTTGTCAGCATGCCCAGTGCCCACACTGGCCTTCACAAAAGGGGTCCTGTTGCCTGTGGGATATTTCCACCCCCTGTCCCACCACCTGCCACCTACCTGGGCAGGGAGAGCTGGCAGAAAGAAGAGGGTGAGGGAGGGGCAGAGAGGGCCCTCAGGAGGACTTAGGACTCATAACACCCTTCCCAAGTATGCACCTCAGCCCGATCGAGGACTGTGTCACTCAATTAGAAACTTGGGGTAGCCTGTTTCACCAATGGCTGTAGACCCCCAAATATTGGAGCTTCCATCAGTTCCCAAAGGATAGTTCATAGCTATACCTTCGCCAGGTCTCAGGTGAGTTCTTGGAAAAAGAGCCTCAGGTCTCAGGACCAGGTGGCCCCCTTCAGGCTCTGATGTATGTTGGGGTGTGTTGCACTGATCTTTGTCATCGCCACCTGGCAGGGCAAGAGGCTTGGCTGCTGGTGCTTTAGGGAGTCCGGAGCTGGGGAGGTGGGAAGGGGTCTTACCAGGTACCAAATGTGAGTAAGGCCCAGGCCAGGTGAGCACAGGAAGCAGGTATGGCTCGCTCAGAGTGGGGACCCAAACAGAGCCCAAAGTAGTAGTGGCAGGGACACAGAGTCCTGAATCAGGGGACCTGAGCCTGAGAGCAGGTACACACGGGCCTCAGTGTCCCGGGCTGTACGGTGGCTGGCTGCAGTATGACCTGAGGAGGCTGCAGGTGCCAGGGTCAGGTGAACGCAGCCCTGTCCTCCACAAATGACTTTACCCTGACACCCCTCCTGTCCACTGATAGCCGCAGGACCAGGCTTCTCCACCAAGGACGGCACCAGGGCACAGTGGGACAACACACAATACACTGTGTTGGTCTCTTACAGAAAAGCCATATCTGCACACAAAAGGAGTTTGCTTGTTTTCTCGTGGAGGACACTGTCACAGTACAGAGTGCTCCTCGTTTGTCCATGAAATCTCCAATTTCCCCTTTTTGAGTGGCCAGTGCATGACAGTGGCTAGGGCAACAGTGGCATGTGTCTGACCCAGGAGTTGCCAGACAAAGAAGCAAACTGTGCTTTCTCTTCCTAGGCTCCAGTGAGGGAATGCGTACAGCCCTGCCCGATGGTTGCCCCTTGTAGGTGCCGAGGACGCAGGATTAGACGGATAGAGGTGAGAAAGACCCTTAGGTGGGGCTGAGGGACAAGGGAGGGCAGCTGGTCCGTGGCCCCACATGACGCGTGGCCTGGGTGGAGATGAGCTCTGCGGGCACTACATCCATCCCTTGGCACCAGAGAGGAAGCAGAGGCCATCCCGATCCCGGGCCCGGAAGAGGGCAAAGGGTGTGAGGGCTCCTGCTGTCACCACCACCATGGGGGCCCACACCAGGGTCCCCCCCTTGGAAGGGGCCCAGGTTTGCAGATGTCGGGGGCTGGCCACCGCCCGCCAGTCCCAGGCTGTCTAGAAGGTTGTCAGCAGCTCCAGCACTAGCTTCCGATTTCCTGGCCGCAGGCAGAAGAGTAAGACACAAGCTCAACCACACACAGTCCCCAACAGCTCAGGGGAAAAATTGTTTCAAGGAAAATTCTGAGCAAAGTTTGTTCCACTGTAAAACTACCCGAAAGGCCAGTGGCACCAGCATCCCTTGTGTGAGTCAGCTCAGCAGAGTGAGGGACTGAGCTAACTACGTTGTCCTGGGACACAGTGACACGGGGACAGGGCCTCATGCAGGAGGAGGCTGTGGGGAGACATCCTCAGCCCAGGAAGTGCTAGTGCCGCACCCTGTGTGGGCTCCCAGCCCTGCAGGGAGCGTGATGACAGGGTGGGGAGGCCCCAGGCGGCCCTGGCTGAGGAAGGAGGAACCCCATAATCTTCCTTCCTGGGCTTTGCCCTCCTCCCGGGCCTGCACCTGCGGTGACGCGTCCTTTGGAAGTGCTCCACCAGGGACCAGGCACATTAGTCCAGGTGTCTTGCTTTTGACCCTGTGAGGAGCTCAGGTGGCAGCTGGAAAGACTGCTGACGGTCAGCCTGGGGCTCAGAGAAGCCAAAACAGCAGGAGGGGGCACAGGCCACTGGGCTGGCGCTCATTCCTGCTCACAGGGCGCAGCCCCCCGGCCCCCTCAGTAGGGCCCAGAGAGGCCTGAACTGCAGGTCCTGCAGCCAGGAGCCCACCTGCCCCTGGGCCCGGGGCCTCTTCTTTCCTCCCTTCCTCTCTCCCAGCAGCCCCGAGATCAGCCCTTGTCCCCACCTGCTCCTGGTGAGCCCCCGGGCAGGCCCTTGTCCCCTTCTCCCAGCTCGCGCTCTGCTCCCGATGCCCTCATCACGTTCCCTGCGGGGCCTCCCCCTGTGCGCCCCATGTATCCCCCACCTTGGACCTTCCCTCCCACATTGGCCCCTGCCTTCTCGTCCTACACACGAGATCTGCACTCACGTCAGGTTCCAAAATAATCTGGGACCCGCAGTGACATTGCTTGCCCCGAAACACCCAAGGCCACCAGGCCCCTGCCCCAGGTGGGGAGTGCAGGGCTGCCTTGGTGTGTTCCCAGGGACAGAGCCCTCCGGAGCCGTCTCGAGCAGAGGGGACTTTACCCCTCTGGAGGTGATGGCCGTGCCTTAGAGCTCCATTATGGCCACGTCTCCTTTTCAGGGCAAACTGGATACCTTGTGTGACTTTGTTCAAAGCTGCAACCAGGCGCCACTGATGTGGTATCAGCCCAGGTACAAGGTAAGCTGGGACACGGGGATGCTCCCCAGGGCAGGGCCCTTTGCTCTTTGCCCTCAACACCGCGCTCAGGGACTAGGGGTCAGAGAGCACTCTCTGGGCGTCTGCCCAGGAGGATCCCCGACAAGGAGGCCTGGGGCTCCTGAACCCCCCATGCGGACTCTGGATGGGGCACCTGCATTTCCTTTCTGGGCCTCGTCACAAGGACAGGAAGCTTTCTTGTAGACAGTGCGGCCCAGTGCTTCTGAACTTAGGTCAAAGAGGCCGGAGGGAGGCACGCCAGCGAGTTCTCCTGGCCCCCATCCGTCGTCCCTCCCCACGGGGCTCCCATCTGCGGGTCTGCCTGCTCCACACCCCATCCTCTGAGGCTCCTGGGCGGCTCCCTCATGTGCCGGGAATGCTGGAGGGCATGGGGGCACCCCCATGTTGTTGGCCAACACCGCCCGCTTTTACCGGGTAGTGGAGTCCCTCCATGTGCCACGCCTATGACAACGGGGAGAGGCCTGCATGTTCCAGGTGTCTTCCTTGGAATTTAATAGTTGTGAAGGCTAATTGTTACAGACTTCCTCCTGTGCCAGCTGCCAGTCTAAGAACTCTCCATAATTTCACATTCAATCCTGCCAGTAACTGTACGTGCATGTATACTAATATGCCTGTTTTACCAAGGGAGAACTAAGGCACAGAGAGGCCAGGCAACTTGCCTCATGTCACAGAGCCTGTGGGTGGCAGAGCTGGATTTGTACCCCAAGGCCCAGCTCCACCCTTCTCAATACCCTGCCTCCATCAGGTCAGTGCTCATGAAACCATGATGTGACCCCAAAACCAATGCAGGGTTTACACCTAGAACCCACGAAGAGTAGGCTCCTGGCCCCCTGGCTTCCCCTTTGCTCAGACGGGGCTAGGTGCCTGTGGGACGTGGTTGTCCCCAGTATCAGTAGTGAGGGCTGCATTAGGCATCTGCTGGGTTCAGGCAAACATGACTCTTCCTGGGTGGCCAGCTGAGCATTAGGAGTCCTGGGCAGGCCTGAGGTCGGGACCCTGCTGAGGAGACACCCAGATGCATGCTGACACCCAGCAGGACCCCGGCAGCTGTCAGAGGTTCAAGGCTCCACAGGAGCCCCCTGGGCTCCCGGCTCTGGGTCTGAACGGAGCTCACGGTTCCAGCCGTGCTTGCACAGAAGCCCATCTCCTTCTGAGTCACCTAGAGCCTCTTCCCAGGGCCACAGGCCCATCATGGTCACTTGAACACCACACCAGCCTTGTGCCCTGAACCCACGCAGCAGCGTCTGCTCCAGGTAGAGGGACAGAGCAAGCCATGGAGGGAGGCCCGAGACCAGAGGGAGGACAAGGGAGAGACACTAGAAAGGGCCGTCCCTACCCATCGAGGTGAGGGCAGGGGCACTGGGCAACCCTCTGGAGTGGTCCCTTTCCCAGACCCCGCTGGGAGGATCCTGGATCGTGGGGCACTTACAGCTGCTCAGCAATGTGCCCGGCCCTGCCACGCCAGCTCTGGAGTCCAGCCCACGACTCTTTCAGGCTGGGAGTGAGAGGGACCCCGTGTGTTTGCTGATGGCAAAACACAGTCCTGAGAGGCCAGCAAAGTAGCAGAGGCCGCCCAGAGCGTGAGTGGCAGCCTCCAGGGCCATCTGGGTGTCCCTGTTCATCCTGAGCAGAGCTGGGAGCCCATCACTAGGCCCTGTGGGTGTGAGCTCGCTTCCCACTCCTCGGTCCTTCCCATCTGACTTTGTCCCTCCCACCATCCTCCTGGAGACCTGAGTGTGGCTGTTTTCTTCAGGATCGTCTCCTCCCACACACATATACAAAATGTCCCAGCAAGACTCAGTCTAGTTCCTTAATCTTTTTTTTTAATAGTTTATTGTCTAGTTGGTTTCCATACAACACCCAGTGCTCATCCCCACAAGTGCCTCTAGTTCCTTAATCTTGAGCCAAACCCTGGCTCCCATTCAATGTCCTGACTCTCTTCCTTTGTTGCCTTATCCCAGGAAAAAAAGCCCATCAGTTCCCCGACAGGACCACAGCTAGATCCGCCCACTGTGGGAAGTCTGGCCCACAGTGCCCTACCTTACCCTCCCCCACTGCACGTGATGCCCACCGTCATAGAGCTGTGTCCCAGTGCACCTACCCTTTCTGTCCCCACAGTGCGCTGTGCACTGCACCTCCTTTCTCCTCACATCCACCCTGCAGGGACCACACCTGCCAGTGACACAGAGCCTCCTGAGTGCAGACACTGTTCTATGTGCTTGATACAACTAACTCTTTCATCGTCCCACGACTCCATCAGGGAGAAAGCCGAGGCCCCGCACAGTCAGCCACCTGCCCCGAAGCCTGAGGGTCAGTACCAGGAGCCGGCACCTCACTGCCAGTGTGGCTGACCCTCTTCCAGCAAGGTTGTCCCTTCTCTGCATGTCACAGCTGTGGAAACTGAGCCCCTGAATTTTAGTGATGGACTCACTGTGACCCGGCTGTGGAGGGGTGTGGCAGGGCAGGTAATGACCCCCAGAAGGTTCACATCCAAGTCCATGTTACGATGCCCATGTCATGCTGTCAGAGTCATAGGGAAACATCTGGGATATACTTCTGTCCATAGTGCAGTGTTTAGATGTGCAAACAATTGTGAATGTGACTATCTTATTTTTATAATATGCTGATAACAGACCTTGTAAATATGAGCTCATGTATGTTTGCTGAGAAAGAGTTTTTCCATGGAACGATTAGAACCTGGATACAGATTGGCCTAATGATGCATTCTTCCCAAGGAGCTCCTGAGTCCTCCGTCCTTGCCCACAACATGGAGGGAGCTCCATCAGGGAGGGGGTGTGACAAAGCTGGGACATGGTTGCACCTCTCCAGGAAGACTGAACCTGACAGCTGTCTGTCAAGCCAGTGAACTTTGAGAAGTTCACAACCCTACCCTCACCCCGACCCAAAACTCATACACGCACGCACACACACACACACACCCAAGCATGTACAAGGACATGCACACACATGTACACATTCCCCATGAAGTAGCAGGAAATGCCATAGTGGAGCCCATGCTCAAAGCATGGAGATTAGGACTAGCAACCAACCATTTTCAGGGGATCCAAGATTAGTCCCTGCACTGCGCAGCACCCAACTGATGTAAGAAGTAATTGGTCACTGGCTTAGATCATCAAATGGTCGAGAGGCAGGAGGAAGGAGACTCCCCTCTACCTCCAGACCCCTTCACTCAGCCCGTGACACTTGTACCACAGACTCAGGGGCTCTGCGGCCCTTTGGGTTCCCCCCACCACAATGGGCCCCCCTCTTCTCCCAGCATTCCGTGTGAAGATCCAGCCTGCAGCTCCCAGAGGTGGACTCAGGCATGGGGGAGAGGATGGGCCTCAGCACAGGTGCCCCACAGCCATCTCTTGATGAAATCGAAGAGATCCCACAGCAGTTTCTAGGTCTAGAATAATCTGTTCATGTTCTGGAGTGAGTAAGCAGAAATAAAGGAGCCTGAAATAAAAGTAAAACAATCCAGTCTCTTTTTAATATCAACACACCCATGCACACATGTAACACCAAGTGTCCTGACCTATAATGAAACCACAAGCCTTCACTTGCTGCTATAGAAGATTTGAGAATGTGAAAACCTAGACCACACTGTCAGCCTTTCCCAAAGGAATCATGGGCTTAGCTCTGCTTCAGTAGAACTGTAGTGACCATGTCTAGGGAATTTGGTCAAACTGATTTACGAATCAATTGAAAAAAAAAATACAGTTAAGCAGAGTTTGGGAGTTTTTGATGTGATCCTGGGGCCAGCATGGTGAGCATCCTGTCAGATGACCAAGACCTTGTCCATGAGTCCAAAACAGTCTGAGGTGTTGAGAACAGGCCCAGCTGCAGTGCTCTGGGCCACGGACCAGACGTTCCCCTCTTCAGCACCAGAATGTGGTTTGACAGAGGCGGCATTAGAGAATGGGTCTGTCTGTTTGTGTGAAATGGAGAGGCCAGGAGGGAGGACAGCCCTGGAGCCCAGGAATATGGAGGCCACAGCTCAGGTCACCATGCAGGGGAGGGGCCCTGATATGACGGACCACAGGCCTGGTACTGGAGAGGATGACTGGAGTGGAGACACATAGCTGAAGTGGGAACCGGGGGGAACCTCCCCTTGGAGATGATTCTGTGCAGCCTGGACCAGGGGAGTGCAAAGCCAGGTGAGCAGGGGAATAGAGACCTTTGAGTTGGCCTAAGAAGGGAGCCTGAGGGTTTACATGGCAGTCCGTGCTCAGAAAGGTGAAAATGGACAGGTAGCAAGAGACGCACGTGGCTCAAGACAGGGTTTGGGCTGAGTAGGCCCCGAGTGTAGGGTTGGTGACCTGGAGGCTGGGGAAAAGGAGGCAGGGGAGGTGAGCATGGACAATATGGAGGGCCAGCAGGAGGGTGGCAGAAGAAGCCATGCCTGTGAGTCTGGAGGTGAGAATGGCCAACTAAGGAGTTGAGATCAAGGGATTGCTGCTAAATGATCAAAGAACTTGCTATCTGCAGAGAGCTCAGGATTCCATTCGTAGTGGTTATCATGGATGATTTGTAAATAAGCAACTTTTATTTCCTTGTGCATGTCTGTGTGTATTGCGTGGGACCTCCACAACAGGCAAGTGTTACTTTTATGATCAGGGGAAGCTGAAATGTTTATCTGTAAAAGATAATATTAACTTGATAAAACCTAAGTGGATGTTACATAGAAAGTGGCCTAGCAAGTGACACTTTTCCCTTGCTCTCCTGCTAGGGAAAGTCACAGCGAGGATGCCCTGCCCATCTCTGGGCTTGGCTTCGCTCTGCACAAGGGAGTTCAGGCCCCCAAGGGTGTGTCTGTTCTTGAAGGTTTCATTGTATCAACTTCGTGTGGGTATGGGAAAGGACAAGGTCAGCCTCAAGGTGTCCCAGATTCATTAAGAACATACTTAGAAATTCAAGGGATTTTAGGTGTGTTGTTTTTCCAATGTGACTACATTAGGAGAGAAAACCAAGATTATTCTAAAGGGTTAGGAAGAATTTTTAGCAGTAGGGTGATGACAATGACAGTCTCAGTAAGAGAAAGCAGTGGTCAGCGCTCTTTGTCATTCACAGGTACTCAAGGTAACACTATTGAGTGAATGATGGGTTCGCAGAAGCCTAAAGTCTGCCCACTACATGGCACACCGATGGGGACTGATGGGGCTTTCTGGGGACCAATGGGCCCAGACAGATCCAGCAAGGGGATCATTGAGGACCTGGGCAGTAGGAAGAGCATAGGTGTGATTAGAGAGGAGCTTGGCAGGCCCCAGCATCCAGGGAAACCATGGCTTTCTGGTCCCAATTCCACTGGTTTCTCAGTGATCTTCTCTCTCTTCTCTTCCCTACAGAGGCGCTTCAACTTTGCCCGATTGAAGCCGCCCTGCATGAAGTATCCCTGTGCTTCAAAGATCTGCCTTCCACCCTGTGCCCCAAAGATCTGCCTTCCACCCTGCGCCCCAAAGATCTGCCTTTCAACCTGTGCCCCAAACATCTGCCTTCCCGCCAGCCGGGAGTGCTTCCCCATCAGCAGCTGCTACTCATGCTACCAATACCCGTCACGCAAGTGCTCCCGGCTTCCCTCCAGGATGCTGCCACTGATGGCCCCCTCTGCCCGGGCACTCTGCGGAACCACTTTGTCACTCCCACCCCCATAACCCAGCCTCCAACGCACCAAAACCCCAAGGTTATTAAGAGCCCGTTTTGCACTGAATCAGACATACGTATTGAGTCTTGGTTTACAATCAAAAGGAGTTGGAATTAGTTGCTTATCAGCAAGAGAATTTGTTACCTGGTAGGTTCGCTCCACTGGATGAGACATATCTATGCTGCTTCCATCCAGGACAAAGCACACCGGTGCCCTGTGGATGCAGACAGGGACATGACCCAGTCCCCACAGCCTGCTCTTCATCTGTCACGAAGGGCTGGGACACCTGGGATTGTAGCCAAATTCCGCTCTTTGCAAAAAGCCCAACATGTCTTTGAAATAGGAATCCAATCCTGCATCTCCTTCCCTAATTTTGTGTAGAGAGAAAGACTTGAGTTTCTCACCCTCCTTCACTCCACGTTCTTGGTTTTATTTTTTTCACTACCCACACTCCGAATGTGTCCTAGAAGGAGACAAACCCCCCTCAAGTTCAGCAGCTGCCAAGGGCAACTTCTCTTTCCAGACACCCCTGACTGTATCCTAGGCCCAGAAGCATTTTAGAGAATCCCCTCTGTTTCCCTAGACAATGTAAACCTCCCCTGTTTGTCATTTGCCATTTGCAAGACCACAACCAGTTATCTCCAACCTATGTTGAAGTAAATTAAAGGACTCTGCACCCTCACCCTCATGTCCTTGAATGTCATGATTATACTTTTCAGTAGAATTTCTGTAAGATGAGTATAGGTAAAAAGTAAACCAGGTTTGGATTTTTAGTCTGTGTTGATTAAAGTGGCTGTAGAGTGATGCCCATAATTAAAAAAAAAAAAAACAAAAGAAACAAAGAAGGAAGGAAGGAAGGAAGGAAGGAAGGAAGGAAGGAAGGAAGGAAGGAAGGAAGAAAGAAAGAAAGAAAGAAAGAAAGAAAGAAAGAAAGANGAAGGAAGGAAGGAAGGAAGGAAGGAAGGAAGGAAGGAAGGAAGAAAGAAAGAAAGAAAGAAAGAAAGAAAGAAAGAAAGAAAGAAAGAAAGAAAGAAAGAAAGAAAGAAAGAAAGAAAAGATAAAGTTTTCCTGAAATGGCTGTATGTGTGGAGAATGTTCGCAGGGTAACTCTCCAAAGCATTTATACCTGGAGTTGCTCCTACTTGTGGACCCCGCCCCCACTCCTCTGCCCTGAGTGTCCACAGTGTCCACTCCACAGCCTGAGCCCCAGATCAGTGTCCTGCCATGACAGAAAAGGTGGCAGAGAACACATCCCCCCACATGGTGGGCCTTTTCCACCTCCGCCAGCACATCTGTCTTGCAAGCCGTTTATAGGAAGCTTTTTCCTGGCCCCAAATGCCAGGCACAGGGTGTCACAGAGAAATGAGCCAGCCCAAGATGGAGTCCCACGCTTAACCCCTGTGGTGTGGGACTCAGTAGTTTCACTGGGACCTCATTCAGCGACTCATTCCAGAGCAATGATAGGTGCTCGAAGATTACAAGCAACTGCTCTATGCCTCACTTGCTGAGGTCCTTCATGGAATGTGAGGCCTTAGCCAATGCTCTGGTTTGGTTTCGTGTTACAAAGGTAAAAATCACCAGCTGAGTGAACACAGAGCACGTTAACAAGGCTGGCAGGCGGCACAGGGCTGGCCCCATGGGGAAGGGTCTCAGATGCCTGTGCAGTGGGGGATGGGACCCACTGGTTCTAGACTGCCTTCACTGAGCCACTGGTCCTTATGAGTCATACACAAATGAGCCAAGAGCACCTATACACAGCTTTATAAAGGTGGCTAGGACTGTGGGTCTTTTAAGAATCAGAGGGAAAAAATGTTTATTGTACTCATGATACCAAGAAAAGTGTGTGAACCTTTTCTTTTTATTGGACAGAGAATGAAAACAGCATGAAAGTACAGACAAGAGATTTTTATCTCTTCTCGAGAAGTAAAATATTTTGTTTTGTCTGTAACTGGCGTGAAAGTATTGTCCTGGCCTGAGAGGTTCAAGGACACTTTTCTGAAAGCAGCTCTGTGCCCCAACATTGTATCCATATAAAACCATAAGATGGTGCATGCCCATCTCGCAGTCTCTGTGACCCTATATGAAGAAATGTGTCTGTGATTTAATAAAAGAACTTAACGTGACCATGAACTGAAATCTGTTCATTAATGGACATCGAGAGCCTTCTTATTTTTAGCCAATAATAACTAGGTCTCATCACACCTTCTTCATCTCTGAACTGAGGAGGGAGGTAGGCGTGGACATCTTAGAGGAACATCAGCCTGCCCCTGGCCACCCACAGCCACCGACCCTGGCCTCACTTCCGGTAGTGACAGGAGGTAGCAGCAAAAGGCAGTTTCTTTGGGGACCCCTCCCTAGGCTGGGCTCCTGCCCTGCCTTCCCCAGTTCTAGCCCAGCAGGGCCTCTGGCTTGTCATCAGCAGGGGGCTTCTCACCTAGTGAAGAGAGAAAGGGGCATAGCCCACTACTGACAGCTGACTTGCAGGTGGACTGCCTTTGGCCTCTCACCTCCCCCTCCTACCGGGAACAAGATATCTTGAGAAAACAAGTCTGACATCTGAGCCGTCCCAAGCTGAAATATCTACAAAGAATATTGGGCAATGCTTGTTCTTTACTTTAGACATTTTCTGAATGCCTGCTGGTGTCTCGTGAAGCAGCCCATGTGGACTCACAGCAGACCTCCAAGCCTGGGCCAAAACCTGTGCCTCCAGAAGCCAGGATCCTCCCTCAGACCTCACCCAGGTCAGACACAAGCACACAAGCAGAAACCCACGAATACCCGCCACCATATTGGAGCATGCACACTTAAAGCTGTGGCCTTAACAGTTCCCCCACCTCCTCGCCTGTGCACCAGAACTCCCAGAGCAGGCCCAGGGTGTAGACGAGGTCAGCGTGACAGAAGGAAACTGTCTCGGGCACTGGGTGGTGCTTCCACCTGCACTGTGCTTGGCGATCTGCTCACATGGTAAAGCCAACTATGGAAATGTCCATTCAGTTCCACTCACTCTCTCTGTTTTCCATTCCACATTCCAAGCAGGCAGCCAGGCTCTGGGTGTTGCCTGGCTGTTTGCAGTAGGAGATAAGCGATCCGAAGGCAACCTGCCTTCCACCTTGTATCAAGACTAAGGCTCCTGAGGGGCTGTGCTTTGCATCTCAGAGCGGGTGGGTAGGATGGAGTGAGCACGTGAAAGCTACATTCTGACAACTTCCGTTGTTAAATCATGAATCTTTCAGATGAACCACGAAGCTCACAAAAATGTCACAGACTGCTTCGGAATGTACCCCCACCTCGTTCATGCCCTCCATTAATTGAGGAGTTTCCATGGAAAAGTTTAAGAAATCCTGCCATCAGGGGTCTGCAGACAGGAGAGCCCAGCCTGACCCTGCCTCCAGGCGGTGCGGAGGCAGAGCTCACGACAGACACCAGAAGGACAGAACTACGGTGGGTGTGGGTCCTGACCTGCGGTGAGACAGGCAGCCAGGTCCCAGCAGCTCCAGACATTGGAAAGTCCATGGGAACAATTCTTGGCCTGCTCTCCACGTCATGTGGCCTCTGGTCTCTGTCCCTCCCCCCTCCCTGCACCTGCTGCTTTCGCCCCCGTCTCTGCCTCTCTGTGCACTTGGCTGCCCATCCCCCACGGACCCTGGCTGCTGGTCCGCTACGCAGGTTGACTGGCCGCTCCCCATTGCCACACTGGTGGGGGAAGGACACCCAAGTGGGCACATGGCTGCTGTCGGCCCCAGGACGGGGTGTGGGAACAGTGTTGACGGCATGACGGTGGGCTGAGCAGGTGCCTCCAGTGCTGTCTGCGACATTCTGAGAAGCCCAATTCAGCTGTCCCTCCAGGAGTGGCCCTGGTCTCCCCAAACCCCTCCCTCCCACTCATTTCTCCCAACTGCTTTGTCTTCCTGATGCCCCAGGGAGCTGAGCCATGTGAGCACGGAAGAGCCACTCAGCATGTGCTCTCACCTGCCCCCAGCACCTGCCCCTCCAACCAGTGTCCCACACCCGGCTGCTGCCTCCACCAACCTCCAGACTGCGCCCATGCCGGCTGGGAGAGAAGGGCTTGGGCAGTGGGGGGGGGGGGGGGGGGGGGGGGGGGGGGGGGGGGGCGGGGGTCTGCTCCCTTATGTGCAGTCTGGGCTCAGTTAACAGCAAATGGTACATGCAGTGTATGCACATCCGATGGTATTTGTTTGCATGGGTTACCATAACAATGTAGCAGAGTCTCAGGGCCTTAAACAGCAGAGACTTTTCTTTTCTTTCTTTCTTTTTTTTTTAGAAATTTATTTTCTTTGGGCCCCTGGGTGGCTCAGGCTCAGGTCATGACATTGTTGTTCATGTGTTCAAGCTCTGTGTCAGTGTGGCGGCTGCTTACACTGTCTCCCTATCTCTCTATCTGTCTCCCTATCTCTCTCTGTCTCCATCTCTCAAATAAATAAATAAACATGTTTTTAAATCTTTTAAAAAATAAATTTATTTTCTTAATTCCAAGATCAAGGTGTCTGCAGGTTTCATTCCTTCTGAGGCCTCTCTCCTTGGTTTGTAAATAAATGGACATCCCCTCCCTGTGTCCTCAGAGGTGTCTCTTCTGTGTATATCCGGATCCTAATCTCTTCGTTCCAGACAGTGTTCATATTGGAATAAGGCCCACGCTAATGATCTCATTTAATTTTATTATCTCTTTAAAGACCCCATCTCCAAATAGTCACATTCTGACTTACTAGGGGATTAGGGTATCAACAGATTAATTTGGGGAGGACACAATGCAGTCCCTAATAGCTATCAAGTGGTGGGTTCTGAGGGAGATGGGAGAGGTCATAATAAAAGGCTCCATGGTTAAGGACAAGCTGGGTGACCACAGGCAGGTGACCCTCGCCTCTGTAGAGACAACAGCTATGTGAGGATTGAATGTGATGATGTGTGCAGCCCCCTGAACTCACACACAGAGTGGGGGCTCCCAAGTAGCAAATCCTGCGCAACAGGCTCCTGGGAATTTGAGGCAATGCTGGGCCAGGATGCAATTGCTCAGGTCAGACTGCAGGATCGTGAAGGGACTTTGGGGGCTCACCACCTCCTTTCACGAATGGGGAGCTGAGGAAGAGGGTGTTGGTGCCTCATCATTCTGGGGTCCATGGCTCCAAGTTCATGATCCTTGTGGAAGTTCAGGGCCTCCAACGACATAGAGAATGCCCAGCATCGCAAGCCTTAAGCCCAAAATTGACCTGGGATGCTCAAATCCAAAAATGCAATTCCTTGTAACTGGAAATCCTGAACCTTCATTTTTTTATTTTCCTCTACCCACGGGTGGTGGACATCCCTGGGAAGCAAACTCTGGCTCTGACAGCAGATGGCTGGTGATGAGTGGTATTTGCCACATAGACAGGAGGCCATAAAGAGGAAGAAGACTAGGGGTAGGGGCCCTGCTTTAGGTGAGCCAGGGCCAGGAGCTGGGCCGAGCCAGAATGGAGCTAAGTCAGTGGAAGTCCCCTGGGGGGTCAGGAGGCAGAAGGCAGAGGAAATGGATGAGCATCCCCTATAGTGTTCCCAATGTCCCCCCACCCCCACCCCAGGAGGCTTCCTGCCTTGTAGCCTCGGGCATTAGGTACCCAGGTGCCTCATTGAGGATGGGGAGGAGGTATCCAGAGGCCAGTGTGATGTGGTAGATCGTTCCAGGAGATG